TCTGCATTTACCTATTATGAAAAAGAAGAAATTATTAATAATGTGCAAAATTTTATTTAATGGTAAAGAAGACATAGCTAATTCCTTCTCTAGAATTAGCAGACTTTACCAATAACAAAGTTGGGATGTCTGCTTGAGTTGGTTATCAAGTGAATAAGTAATTAAAAACAGAAAAAATAACAAAGAAACAAAAAATAAAAATAAATAAGAAGAATTAAAACACAAAGCAGGTAATTCTCAGTTACCCACCACCACCGTTCACCAACCCAAGCAAACACTCACTCTGCAAAATAAAAATCACACCTCTTTTAAAGTCTCCTGAACCACTTTGCACTCATCTAGAAAACTGGTAATTCTCCATTCTCGTCTGTTGTCTAGTGTTAAGGCTAGTAACACAAAGAAGATGTATACTCAGTTCACCAAAACTCCTGCTTGGTGAGTTCGTCCTAATGGGAATTCTATGATTACAGGGATTCTAACTCTATTAATTTTACTCTTGAAGAATTTTAGAGAGGGTTTTTTTTACTGTAGTATTTATTTTATTTTATTTTTTTTTAGAGAAAACGGATGGTATATATATATGTTGAGGGTATATATATATATTTGTAAAAATCACATAAGGTATATATTGTTGTTGAGAGTAAAAAAAATCCGTGACTCGCGAGTCGCGACTAAACATGACTAATATTGATCGTCGCTCATGTGATTCTACTTTAGCCGCAATTGATGATGTGGCGGAGCTTGTATTTAATACTTTGGCGCTATCGAAAATCTATCGATATTATCGATATTAATACACTAATACTGTATAAATAAAATTATAAAACGCGTAAACATATAGTCGCCATATTAAATTCAAATTTAAATATATCAGGAATGGATTGGCGTAATTTTATGTCCGACATTCCGACATGATTAATTATTTTAAATAATTTTATTGTATTTTTGTATTAAGAAGATTTTTGCATGATGTTACAAATCTACTTATTGTGACATATGCCTGCTGACTTTAATGTTTTTATTGTATGTATGTGCTGCATCGCAAAAAATTTTCCCCGTTTTTATCATATAGTGCTCATAACATGATTATCATGAGATATATATTAACTTTTCGGCTATATTAGTACAGTATAGTTTTCCACCAAAAAATCAGGATAACACTTTCTCACAAGAGCGAGCGGTACATGGCTATAAGGATCGTCCTATGATGTCTTCTTAGCGGGAGTGTGCCCTCCTGTGCTGGCACTGTCCTACTATCTGTGCCATAACCTGTTGCGATACCTGTTCTACTGCTTGTGGATATTTAAGAGTTTGAGACGTCACTATATTTCATTTTTAATAGAGTGACGAAGTTGATTAAGTTGTGTTGAGTAGTGCGAGTGCAAGTGATAAGACGGTAATAATGGAGTACTCGGATTCAACTTACTGAAACTTTTTTTATGATCTTATCATACAAGTTTTAACATATTCCTGCAATCTTGTCGCATTTTTGTTCATTCAGAATTACAGTATTTATATTTATATCATTTTTTTATTGGAATTTATTGTTTCTTCAGATTTTGATTAAAAAAAAAATTTTATGTTACAATAACATAATGTAACGTAAAGAATAAATTTTATAAATTACGGTAATTTTACATCCCTAGTTATATCTCATCAATAAAGTTTGCCCACATCGGGCATAGGATTTTTTAAGCCGTCAAAGAAATTTTCAGATACATGAACTATTTTAGTTATAAAAGACACCGGATCAGAATTTTGTGTCGCAGTCATTATATATTATTATTTATAATCTTGAGTAAAATTTACATATTGATCTATTTCGATTATCAAGATGTCATTGCTACGGAACTTAAGAAGTGAAACCATTAAATTTTTTTTTACTCTGTGCTCAGAAGCCTTGCCTATAAAAAGCGTACTAATATCATTACTGATATCATCAAATTTTTTTACTGCGTGTTAAGTTAATTGATTCAAATTATTTGATTGTAATTATAAATTTTTTCTCACTCTTCTTACTGATGAAACTAACGAAATATTTCTCTTTTCTTAATGTAAAAAAACTAACGAAATATTTTATAACAACATTTAACAACATTTTTATGATCCTAGGAAAAAAAAGTAAGTAGCACAGGACGCCCAGCAACCGATTTGCTAGTGTTGTGCCACTAACCTGTTTTTACACCAATAATAAGTTTTTCTACATGGCTGAGAAACCCTCCCAAAAAATGGATGAGACAACTCGTGAAGGATTTTCTAAAACCATGGAGGTAATTTAAATAGACAGTTTTAGGGAGAAAAAAATTCGTTTTTAACCAACCTATTCTATACAGTACTCTACCAATCAATGTCAAGAAAGTCAATGGAAAGAAAGTAAGGGAAGTGACAACCGAGGGAAGACTAGTAACAGTTGGTCCTTACCCGCCGATTCGCGTTCACACAAGCTCAGACGCACTTTGTTTACTATGGAGTTTCTACATAAAGCTTCCAACCAGGAGAGCAACACTCGAGAAGCAAAGGAACTTTCTCATTCGGAAGGTGGGAGTTTTAAAGAGGCAGTTCATGATGATGGAAAGAAGAAAGAAGTACCGTCCACGTATGATAAGTATTACATACACAACACAAAACAACAAAATAGGGAGATTCATGACCGGAGTCTCGGTTTGTTTAACACCAGCAAAACCATCAGTACTCACGTCATCAATGTTGGAGGAAATGAGAGAGATGGTTTCAGAATCGAAGGCGAAAGATATGAAAATAATGAAAGGGGTAAATACTGTCCTAACGCAACAAGAATCAGAAGCTTGCACGTGGCCCTGGGGGAATTGCGCAGAATTAGTGCCGTGGGAAGCACTACAGGGACTGAACGGGAACCATGTCGATTTGTACACCCTCACTTTCACGTTAGAACAGGCGGAAGTACGGAACCCGTGCATAAAATGCCAGAGGGTTGCGGACTCAATGAATCTTGTAGGTGCGGCGGCGATTCACCAATGGTAATTGAAGTCATTGCAAACGAATGTGAACGTAATGTTTTTGCATCCTATATTAACCATGGGGACTGCGATGTATTAAATATTAATTGCATTAAACCGGGATCAAGTCTTGAAGATTATGTTGAAGAAGTTCAAGAGTATGGCTTCAATCACATAATACTCATTGGAGAGCGTGAGCATGGAATAATTTTCCTAGATTGCTATGGTCGTCTTTTTACATTAGATACAATGACTGGCGTATTGTGGCCACTTGGAGATAATTTCGAAGAGGCAGTTAAGAAGCCATGGACTGGCGAATTGGCGTGGAGTGTTGATGAAGCTGGGACTATTTTTGAAGTCGAGTATTGTATGTATGCAAATATTGATTGTTTTTACCGTGATTTTATGTAACTTTCTTCTCTCTTACAGATGGCGCTATTCGTGGAGATAAAGAAGATCAAAAACCTCTGAAAATCGAAGAAACCCGTAAGAAACCCAAAACTAACAAAGGAAAAAAGAAGAAAAATAAAAAGAGCATACTTTTTTGATTCTTCAGTGTTTTTCATTCTATTTTCACCCTTTTTAGTCATAATTGCAGTTTTACGATTTGTTTTAAAATTTTCTTTAATTCTAAGTAATTGCTTAAATGGATGAATATAATGTATAATAAATATATAAATAATTATGTATTGCAATAATTTTATCTTGAAATATGAAGAGTAACTGTCATAGGCAATAAAACACTTATTACTCCATTTTATCATATACTTTTAAATGTGTGTAATTATAAAATTGTCAACGCATTTTTGATAATCTAAATTACTTAGCGGTCTTTTGCATGAATAAAATTACTGATATGTAACATGTGCCTTTAATCGAAAATGTAGTTATGCTGAATTTTATTCAAAATTTTCTCGGGTTTTTTTTGAGGATTTTTTGGAACGCTATAATGATAAGATTCTAGGTTACAAAAGCATCATTAATTAATTAATTATTTATTTATTTATTTATTGTTAGGACTGGCCGTAATATAAAATACGGAAAGACCTTTACATATTAGATATGAAAAATTAGTCTACTATTTGATAAAATATGAAACCCCCTATAATTGAGCAGCTTCCAGCGGGATCTATTTTGAATCTTAGGCTATGGCCGTCCAGACCTATCCAACAAGGAAATATTAAAAGAAGAAAAATAAAAACCCAAATCCAAACCCAAAATACTAAGAAAATTCTATATTATCTAAAATTAAATTCATAAATATACTATCTGGAGGTAAATAACTAATCCATGATCCACTATGTAAATAATTAGATGTTAAAAGATATATATAACCCCTTAGATCCTCAGGCATAAGATACAAGAAAGATCATTTGAAGAAGTACCGGTAGGATAATCATTAGATAAGGTAGTCCTTTGTGGCGTTATGATAGTGTCCTGAGGTGTTGAACATTTGCGTTTACGCTTCCGGTGGTAACGTTTTTTGTAAAAGTGTTTCTTGTTTTTCGTGATATAAGTTGAGCGTTCCCACGTTTTTAAAAAGTGTGAAGGAGCCAAAAAGGTCGCGTAATATGATTAAAAGAAGGCCATAAAGTCTTTACATATTGATAAAAAACATTTGGGAGCAAAGGTTTTAATTAAGTTGATAAGTTCTTGAGGAATAACTTGATGGAAGTCATGGAATTATGAGTAAGCTGGATATGAGGAAGAAGTGACATGGCTAAATAAATTAGAATTATTAATAAAAGTTGGCACATTTGAAAGTACAGGTGTTGTGACTTGTGCTAAAAGTAAATTAATCAAATAGTGCTTTGCTTTGCGAGACGTTCGTTAAAATCTTGAAGATGAGCAGGACAAAATCCAGGGCGAGTATTTAAATATTCTACAGTAGAACAGAAGGAACAAACTATTTGTTGTACATGGTATAATTCCGGGTAGTTGCGTTGTTGAATGTCGCCAGCAGTCAGCAAATTATGTGATTTTGAAACCTGTAACGCGATCGTTCAATTCATTACAAGTGATGTTATCATTATTGTGTTTCATCCATTGTTCGGTATATGACCAATTGATAGGGTAGGTGCGTGACAGATCGAATTATTGGATTTGTTGCTTAAAAAATCTATAAAGGTTGCAGCTTGAGTAGCGTGTTTTGTCCATTTCCTGAGGTCGGTCCAAATGATTAAAAGTTGGAATGAGAATATTATCCGGAATACGTTTTGGATTAATAAAATTGGAGGTAAGTGCTTCTTTAACTAAAATGCCCGCAGTGTCGTCGTCTGAATGTCCTTTACCTTTAATTAACGTGATGGTGAGTGACTTGACGGAAACAAATGCTTGATTAGCGCCAAAGGAAATAATTTTTGACTTACGACATTTTCCTAACGAAAAAAGGAATTGAAAACCTTATTATGTGTGTATGAAATTTTGGGAATCAGTATGAATAGTAATAGAAGCTTCGTTCGAACAATTAATGTTATTAAAATTGCCATTGTTTCAGCCCGGGTAGAAGATGGTAAGAAGGCAGTGCTTCCTTTAAAGGTAGATATATGAGGATCGGGCTCGCGGCTCGTCCCGACCTGAAAATAAAATATTGCGTGTCTTAAGTTGTGAATAAAATATTGCGTGGCTTCACTAGCTTGGAGTGTGAAATAAATAGACCTACGATTCACAACTCGAAGGGGGGGATAATAACTGAAAACGTGGTGTGAACTACGTTCAGTATAAAATACAGGAGTTTTTGCGCCATCTAGAAAATCCATATATATTTCTTTTCCGTGAATGTCTTACAACATAACAACTTTATGTTGTTTCCATCTCAGCCACGCTTCTTATCGATAATTGTAGTATTGGAAATACGTAAATAAAATGAGAACGAACAAAAAACATTACTGCGATATTATAAGTAGTCACCTTTTTTACTTTTTTGTGAGATCACATGAGAGATAATAAAAACAAAAATTATTAGAGGTGATATACATCGGGTATAAATATTTCTCAGGTCACCAAATATTAATGTTGATTTGCGACTTCTTGATCTGGAGAAGAAGAACATACAAGAAATGAAACCAGGAAATATTTAGTCTGTTCGAAAATACCTAATACGATAATACCAAGTTGAAAATATAGTATATGAGAATATATTAGCAACAGTTCTAGATTATTCCCTTAACATGGAAAACGCAATTACCTTTGATTATAAGATAAATGATGTTTGTTATCTTAACTGGAACACGTTGAATAGACTTTTATCATGGAATGTTGTATTTTGTAGATTATTCACGAATATCTGCATATAATAACACCTAAAGCCTGATTTCGTTCGTTGTAGACTATCCGGATGAACTAGATATTCCTATGCATACTACAACGGAGATCAACAATAACCCAGAAATTAATGATACTCCCGATATCACGTTAGAAATGAAGGTTACAAAACAATTCTGTAGCGAAAAACAAACCGTGTTCTCTACACCAAGTAGTGGTGCCTACCGTCATTAAGGACCAAAATTGTTCGATTAGTTTCGTACAACGGCAGGTTTGTAGTTGAATAGGTAATCTTTTTTGGTAATGATTTTCTCCGTTTTCTCCCACATACTATGTAATAATCGATAAACAGCTATTATTGTAGAGACCGACCCACACCCTTACGTGCATGATTTATTAAATCATTGCTACCGATTGGTATGCAATAAGGTAAAATTTATTTATTAGTAATAAAATTATATTTTTCCCAAGTTTAAAATATAAAAAAAGAAAATTTCAGGAAAGAAAGGAATTTCTAAGTTATGTTAAACAAAACTAGAATTACAAGAATTGCAAAGGTATTTATCAATTTCTTCTTTTCCAAAACTTCTGTACCTCAAAACAGAATATTTATCACGTCACGAAGTTTGTATGTTAATTGAAAATTCTCATGGAAATATTAAAAATATTAATATAAGGAATGATCATAACTTTGGATATACTAAAAGATTATATAAATCCATTGCTATAAATTGTTCAAAGATTGAAAGTTTGAGTATTTTAATATTCAATTTAAAAAATTTAGGTGATATAAAACAAATTTTCTTAAATTGTACATATAGCTGATATAGAAGATGAAGAAGATAGTTGTGATGAAATATTATATATTCTAGAAACGCATGTTCACTTTATATATATATATATATGATATCTAACAAAAATAGCCCCTTTGTCACGAACAAAGGAAAAAGGAGGTCCGATTATTTTCGCAAACAAGGAAAGAGGAACAATAATAATAACCCTTTGTACTGTTTGTAAGAGATATCGTCGCACAACTTTCCCGTCTATCATTAGCCGCAGTACCGCAGTAATGACAAACTACTATTAATACGAGGCCCATCAAAAATGGAACTGCTACGCCTTTTAATTTCCAGAAGCCGTTTGGCTCAGCCTGTTTGACTAAACTATTAAAGTGGAATCCTAAAGGTAAGAAAAATAAAAAAAATTCATCCTACTAACTATTATTTATTTTCTTTCACTAAAAAGTGCATTGTTTACACAAATGTTGGAATGATTGCGAAACCTCAATATTGAATTATTAATTAGTTGTTTAAAATTTAATTTAATTTTTCCACACGTAAATGTTGCCAGGTATGGAGGTGTGTATAGGGATTACCGCTGTATTGTAAAAAGCTAAAGGAGTATAAGGCTGCTACTTGATAATATCAAGCATAATATCAAGCGACGTGAGTTTTCTTTTTTTATAGGTCTTTAGGTTCTTACAGTTTTACAATTAAGGTACATCCTTTTTTTTCTTGCCTTTGCTTTTTAATTTGTTCTTTACTGACTCTCTATGCTGTTCTTTAACTCCTTCCTTTTCAACATTATGAGACGCGTTTTACTCTTAACTTCACAGGTTTTGTTATTATTTGTTCTTTAACTCACTTGTTTAGGTTCTTGTTTTCATTATTCTTTACTAACTATATTTTCTTTACTTTATGCACGTGACATTTCTTAAAAGTGTGATCACGATCATAACGAACTCGCTTTATAACGAAATTTCCAACACGTGACATTTAACTACATCAAATATCCCTTGTTATAACAACCCTATAAAAAACAAATGTCCGGAAAATATCATCAAAATGTCCGGAAAATATCCAGAAAACATTTGATATGTCTGGAAATTGTCCGGTTTTTTGACACAAACATGATGCTTAAAATTTTGATGTGTCCAGAATTTGTTCAGAATATGTCTAGTATAGGTATTCAGGATGTATTCCGGACATAGAAAGGTGGACAAATTCCGGACATAGTAAAATTCAGACAATTTGAACCATACAACTTCTGGACATAACAAAATTCCGAACAAATTCTGGATACTAGTTTCTAAAAAAGGATAAATAAATTTTACAAAAAAATGTAAGAAACTGACATTCATTGTCATACTAATTAAATTTGCTGAGCAGGCAAAAATACTATATTAGGTACGTATTTATGCGGTGATCATCGCGACAGTCGTCATTTTTCAGTTTCAAATAAATTAAGTGGCGTAGAGTCTTAGTTTGGCTTGTATTGAAAATGTTTAGTTCTTCAAACAAAAATCTTCTTCTTGTTAAATACATTTATTACATGTAAATCTATATAAATTTTATTGTTTTTTTTTATTTTCTTGATCGATTTATAAGCATCGTTTTTTTTTCAATTTACAAAAAAAAAAAAATAGGTCAATAATAACTTATATTGTTATTTGTTATAAATAATTAAATAAAATTATGATGTTTCTATTTTTTTTTAAATAATCAACACATCTAGGTCTGTGAGACTTAAGGATTCTCTCTTTATAAATTTTTTTTCAGATTTGAATTCTTTGGGTGTTGGTTCATATCTTACTATTAAAATTATAAGATAAATGACTTATTAGTAAAAAATAAATATTATTGATTAAATCAATAATAATTAATAGATATAATTTACTTACGATAAAATCCAATATATTTCCCAAAATTTTTCTGACACCTGAGAGAATTCAAAGTTGATAAAATCAATATTATCCAAGATATTATTGACATAATAAGAAATGTATTAAAGAAATGATCATATCTAAGACAATATTGTAATGTTTTACGTCGATTATACCGAATATAACAAAAATCAATTGTTCCAAAATATAACAACATGGCTTGAAGAATATTTCCAATGTAAACAACAAACATTAACAATATTGATTCATCCCTGACCTGGTAAAACATTAAAAAAAAAATAATTAAAAAATATTTTTATGATAAAATTATCAATTATTAAATATTATATTATATTATACTTACGCCCTTCAACATAAAAAATGTATAAAATAAAGTGAAAATATCTAATGGAACAATAAAACTAATAATCCCAATTCTACGTATATTATATCCTAATATACCAAAACCCCAAATTACAATTGTATAAAAAATTACCCACAAACCTAACATCATTATCTTTGCGTGGAATATTGGAAATTGTAGTTGATACACGGAATCCATACCTAAATAAAAAATAATATTAAATATTAGGTTTTGGTATATAGAATTTTCTTTTTTTTTTTTTTACTTACTTATTATTTCTTTAGCTTCTGAGTGAGGATATTTATGTCTCATAGGCCATACTCTAATTAATTATAAAAATTTTATATGAAATACTATACTAATAAAACATAGAGTATTAATATAGATTACCTTTTTCTCCAAAGATAATGTAACATCACACAATAAAACACTGTAAACATAACTAAAAAAGCAAGTAGAAGACTTCCTGATGTATAAAATATATTGTCTTTTGGAAAGTAGCATGATTTTGCTGGTAATTCAGCACAAGAATTACTTTGAGTACGAAATAGTGACCCACCCATGATGACGGGAAATGTATGAACAATAATAAATGCAATTCCATGAGGTATTGTCTTGCTATAAAACTATAAAGAAAAATGTTAATAAATCTAGATAATTACAACTGATTAGCAAATTTACAAGTAAGATGATATATACCATTGTTATTCCAGATATTATTGGGAAAAAGATCAGTGGAATAGCTATATAATTACTGTAAAAGGTTCCCGTTGAAATTAAATATGTGATAAATAAAATTGTATATCCGATCATATCAATTAAAAACATATAAAGGAATATTTTCTCTATATATTTAAGTTTTTTATAAAAACTTCGAAGTACACTTTGGAGAGAATCTTCTATTATATCATCGCTTTGGAGAGAATCTTCTATTCTATTGTTATTTTGGAATGAATTTTCCGCTTTTTTACAAAGATGTGTCATTTTTTTAATATTGTGAAATGTAAATTGTAAATATTATCAAAATATTTTTTTTTTTTTTTTGATGAGCGTTGAATTTTTTTTATGCTGGTAATTTATGGCCTATATATGTAATTTTGACAAAGAATGTTTTTTCTAATTGTATATTTCGTTTCTTTGTAAATTTCGATACAAAGACGTCACATCATACTGTGCCATTTCTGTGGGAAAATTAAAAGAGGAACGAATATATGAGATAAACAAACAAAGGTAATTAATTATATTATGTCATCACTCATCATAATTTTTTATTTAATAAAAAAAAAATGCCATTTATCCTGCAACTAGCCGCACTTCAAACCTACAGTTTCAGAAAATCGTTTTATTTTCGTTAGAGAAAAGAATTTTCTTCAATGTATAATTTAAATGAAAAGGAACCATCCGGACGGGTGAAATTCAATCAGATTAAACTTTGTATGGGCAATCAATAAATTATTGAACTTATGCAGAATGCACACCGATCATCAAATTAATTATTTATGTTACAAATAAACAGTATAGATACATCAAGTTGATCAAGTTGGTAACACTCGTAATTTATTTCGAGTTTCATCTCAATTTATCTCTTATACGCCAATAAAATTAATAATTGAACTATTAGTACTTAACATTAAATACAAATATAACTTTGTGATTTTCATATTAAAAGGTTTCGAAAAAGTGATCAGCAGCATTTAAATTAGATAAAATGACAATTTAAAAATTGCGCACTGCTGTGTGGTGTTAATTTATAAAGAAAAGAAAGCAAAGAAACATATAATTACATATAATGAACATAATTTTAACTTGCACTCGATAAAAAATTATATAATTGCTAAAAATACGACACTCATAAAAAACTTTTGATATAAAAATACATTTCATAATATTGAATAAATTGAATAATAGAACAATTAGCTTACCGTACAGTGCTGCCCACTCAGTCTGACAGTGATGGCAAATGGCCAGGTCATTTGGCCATTTTGAAATCGATCTTCGAATGACCTAGTCATTTGATCATTTGAGTCATTTATATATAATGCCTTATAATTCAGGTCAAACTTATGATGCCGGCCAGAATTAAAAAATTTATAATCACATGAAATGTTTTTATTTATTCCTGTTGATGTACCATCATAACCATATTTTGGGTCGCGTTTAACTCACCGACAATTACTTCACCGACAATCATTTCACCGACAAACGTTTCACCGACATATATATAAAATTAAATATAAAAATTTTATAAATATTTTTACATATATCTTTATATGAAATGGGGAATTTTTTTGTTAATAACACGTATTTCTTTGTCAGATTTTATAAAATACAAAAAAAACTACTACTATAGATTTCCTTAGGTGAATAGCACATACTTTACATACTTTTCACAATAGTTTATTTGTTTTAATAAATGTATTAATGTTTTGTATGATCAAAACTAAAAAGTTTAAATATATATATATATATACATAATAAAATTTATAATAACATATATAAAAAAATAAACTGAAAATACAATAGATATAACTATATGTTATTTTATCAACTAACCCGTCTAAGATGGAAATAAGTATCAATACTTATTAGATCTAAACTAAATAGTATCTAAATAAAAAGTTTTTATAATAAAATATCTCATATTTAATATGTGATTATCGGTGAAAAGTTTGTCGGTGAAATGAACCAGACCCGTGTATGTACTAGAGCGAGTTTTTTCTCATTATGGGTCTTTATTTAGGAAAACAAGATGTCTACCAGTAAGGAGAACCAAAAGCCTTTTTTCGATTACGTTGCTTCCAAAGAACTCAAGTTATTGAAGGTCGATATTTCCCTCGAAGAAGGGATGATTCACTTGAGAGCCAGAAAATGCTTAAGTGTAGTTTTTAATGTTGTTGACTCAGATAAGGGTAAATTCTGTGCTAAGCACAAACAACCGGAAATGATTGATACTTTTTTATAATGATTATAAAATTTTATTTATGATAGTAAATTTTAACACTAATGGACAATGAATTTATAATAATAATTATAATAATTACAAAAATAAAAATAAATTAAAATAAAATAAATAAAACAAAAATATCGGTACCATTTAGTTTCTACTTGACATAACCGTAGTAGTGTACATCTTGACTTTGACAAGATCTACGAGCGGATACGTTTATACAACTCCAATATATTGAAATCCAAATATCAAACCAAGTTCCTTTTGTAGGTGTTGGTAAATCAAATTCCTTTTGGAATGTGTATTGCACAGGTATATTTTCGCAACTGCTACAACTACAACCATTAACCCATTGAGGTTTATCAAAAAATTTATGGTCACCGCCATTATATTATCAACGTGCATACTAAAGTGGCCTATTGCTGATACTCCCAAACTGTCATGCATATCAGGAGATTGAATTGTCATGTTAAGTATAGAATTTGGTAACAAATTGGCATCTATAACCTGAGCACCACATTCTAAAAAAAAAATTGTCACTTTTTTTACCAGAAGAATTATGAACAATAGTAAATTAGAAGATTAACATACTATAATTTGAACTATTATTACACCCGCTACCAGCAGGATGACAACCATGAATTTTTTTAATGAAAAAAAAAAACATGTATTTTTTATTCATGACGAATTATGATTTTAATAATTCAAATGGTTATGTGTGTACATTATTTATATTTCTTCCCAAAAATATCTTTTCTTATAAAGGAATAATGCGTGTGACGTTCTTGGAAACAGATCATTGTACGGTTCACACATGGTTAGTATGTACGATTTAAATAATTCCTAATAAAGCGCATTGGTGATGACCTTTTTTTTGTTTTTATCACATGAAGTGAACGGGGTGATTTTATTCTTATCCACATAATTACACGACGAAAAAGGAATTCGAAATAATGCAAATTAGTTCGCCAAAAATCACGTGCTTTATTTTATTTGAAGTATTATCATAATTAGCCAGTAGATCCTGCTTCTATTGGTTGGAAGTGTATCACGGTTATCATATGACACAGCATGTATCGGCGTCTCGGCGAGTACGTATCAAACTTTTTGTATTGTTTTTTCTCATGTAATAATTTCCCCCTTTTATTTATTATTAATTTATTATCCCCTTAAACTGCATGTGGTAAATTTTGCCAAGAAACTGCCCATGGTATTCAATTGATCAGCAGTTTCATACTTTCATACAAACGGATTCATAAATCTGCAAATATACGGTTTGTATCACCTTAATTAAAGATGCCAGGATTTATCGATTTATTATTTAATGATGAATGATCGTACTGATCATTTCTGTTGACTGAAATTATGGGTCTGGTACTAAATCCTGACGATACTATGAATGCCGATCATTTCTATTGACTGAAATTATCTTAGTTTTATTACCAAAATTTAAAGGATATTTAAAAAAAGCTATTATAAAATTATCTATAATATTCTAATTTCACATGATATTGACAATTTTATTACAAACCCGACGCTCACAATCCCGACAAATCATAATCCCGAAACTTCAGAATCCCGTAACCACATTATTCCCGACATTCATTATTCCGTCATTATCCACAAAATCCCGTCAATCAGAATCAAGCTACAAACCCAATATTGTTGGTAAAATGATTGTCGGTGAAATGAACCAGTATAGATTAGGTGTTTACAAATTATATAACAAAAACATTGTCATTTTTTTCTATCAAATCTTGTATCCATAGCCGATTAATTGGACGTAATCGTATAAGTTCCACTGTATTACACACACACACACATATATACTGTGTTAAATTTAAGTATATACAGTAATAATGATTACGATATATTCGGTGGCTTGTGTTAAATGAAGACATAACATGACTAATCCAATATAATCATAAGTCATCTTATGTTGAATTTTCCGATTAACCGTACGTATTGTATGTCTGTATGTCTTTTTGCTTTAATATTGTTGAGTAAACGATTACAAATTTATACTTTTTATGATTCATATAAGCTTATACAAAAAAAAATATATTTACAGTTCTTTTTCTTTTTTTTAATATAACTCACCTTTTCACGCAACCAAATACTTTTTTTTCACGCGTAAATAATACTTATTTTTTCATGTCATGCAAATAAATACTTTTTTTTTATGCAATAATATCTAGGTATTATCAAATATCTAAAATCCGTTTCTGTAATAACGTCTGATATTTCAAAGCTTCAACCATTTCCGTAATAACATCTGATATCTCAAAAATTCAACTGTTCCATAATAACATCATTTCACTGGTATTTATTTCTTTATTTTATTTTTCTCTTTTTTTATTTACTCATTTTTTTATATTTATTTTTTCCTACTTATTGGATATTACGTCAATCATATTAGAGGATCTGGTACCGGTAGGTATTCTTTATGATGTAAGAAGTGTCTAGTAGGTGCATTCAAGTGGTGTATCGATTTGAGTTTCCAGTTGATCCCTGGTTTGTGCCTATGATGATGACATGCCTACTTAGCTTTTTGGTACATAGGTAGCCACTTTTCAGGACCAGCATAGGCACTCAACAACCGATACAGCAATGACATTTTTCACTAACTTTTGATAAAATCTATTTTGTAGGTTATGAAGTTTGCTTATACTTACTCTGAAGGGATGTTGGTACAGATACCTTGACTGGTCTAGGCGTGGCCGTGCCTCTAGGGATTGATCCATTACTGTGATGATAATAATTTTGGTTGTTTATGTGGCCATGTGCATGATTCTGCTAAGTTGATCCATCAATGTCATAGGTCATTAATTTGGTGTACATATAATAGGTATGATAGTTGTAATTATTTGAAGAGGGTTTTAAGTTTGGTTTGGGATCATGTAGTTGAATTTGTTAACTATTATGATAATGGATGTATGGTAAATTTCCATAATGCTGGTTGAATGAGAGAAACATTGTATATGCAACATTATTATTAAAAAAAAATCAATTGTATAAAATAGTGTGGATATTACAATGTCATATTTGACTCTTCTAAAATATCTAATAGAATAGATAGTCATATGTCCATTGAT